ATGCTGCCTCCAGGGCTCTTCCTGAACCAGGCCCAACCTTGACATCATTTGCGGAGCTCTGGCTACAAACCAGGCTCTTATCTAAGCATTTTACATGGAATATCTTACTTGACCTGCACAACAAACCTATGAGCCTTTGCTGCTCCCATTTTCAAGATTAAATGGGAGAGATCCAGAGATTTAGTCCCCTTGCCCACGATCCCAGAGCCAAGAGGGGCAGGGCCAGGATGCAAACCCAGGCAGACTGACTCTGAGCTTTATTACATCCCCGCCCCACATGGCCACACTGGACTCTTCAGCCTCACGTTTGGGGGTCTATCAGGAACCAACTGTAACCTACGTTTTCCAAACTTTTTCCTCTGGTTTCTCTCCATGCACAATGCATTCACTCTCTCTTTATATAACATATATGAACCTTCAAATTCCTGCCTATCAGAACTTTCTCAAGCTATTTCTTCCTCTAGAATGTTCTTCTCCATCTCCCATATATTCCATTTATTCATTCTTTATGCCAGCCCTGGTGTCACCTCTTCCGTGCGGTCTTCCTGATTTCCCCATCAGTGCCATCAGGGTAAGATGACACCACCTCCTCACATCCTATCTGTTCATGTCCACCTCTTCTCACCCACTAGACTACTCTGAGCTCCACCACGCTAAGCTCAGGCAATGCAAAGGTAACTGAGACCTCTTCCCTACTATTGGGAGCTGAATTGTGTCCCTACCGAAATCCATATGTTGCAGTCCTGACCCCTAGCACCTCAGAATGTGACTGTATTTGGACAAAGGGTCTTTACAGAGGTAATTAAGGTAAAATGAGGTAGTTAGGATGGGCCCTGATACAAAATGACTGGTGTCTTATAAGAGGAGATATGAACACAGACCCACACAGAGGGACAACCATGTGAGGACACAGGGACAATGCAGCCATCTGCAAGCCAAGGAGGGAGCCTCAGAAGGAACCAGCTCACCTTGATCTCAGACCTCCAGCCCCCACACAAAGTACATTTCTGTTGTTGGGGCGGCATGCTTCATGTGGCAACCCCAGCAAACGAACACGCTTGCCCTTAAGGAACCTGCCATCTGGTGGTGTCATAACTGAACCCCCACACAGCTCAGCGAGAGGCTCTGGGTGTTATAATAGAGGAAACTGCCATGGACAGCCTGTTCTTGACCTTTTAACTCGGAGAAACAAGTTTCAGAAGCTCTTCTGATTTGCGGCTCTAGTTCTCTGCGTATGAAATATGCACAAATACCGAATTCATCTGGACAGGGAGCAGAGCGTGTGGGTGACCTGCTCAGAATGATCTCTGCATACCGCTGCCTTCAACATCTCCTACCGTGTGGACACCGTGCAGAGCAGACACAGAAAATGGGGAGGGGGATGGGGAGGACAAGATAGAGGAGGAGAGGGGAGGAGAGAAGAGGAGAGGGGAGGTGAGAGGAGGGGAAAGGAGTCAAGGGAGGTACTGACCTGCCTGGGAGACAATGACAGAGGCGAACACACTGGGCCTGGCTGCAGGAAGCTTGCGTTCAAGCCAAAGGATGCATGAGAGTTGAAGTTCAAGCATCATGAGGGCAGGAGCCCAGGTGAGCTGTGCTTAAACAAGCACAATAAGCACACGATTTCCCAGAAATGGTAAGAATGGGATGGGGCCCGACACAATCCCATGAGGGTGGCATGAAGCCACAAACCCAGAAGCAGATACCAGCACTCTGTAACATTAACCCACCTCCACGTAACACGCCAAACCTGGAGCCGCCTGTGCACAGCCCGTCCTGGATCCATGGGGTAACACCCGTGGGGTTTCAATGAAACATTAACTTCACACAGAACAATTTGTTTCTCAACGTCAAACAGAGAGGCAGTGTTTGAACTTCCGAGCGAGCGAGTCCCTTCCCTATCTCCATGGGAGCGAGAAGAATCACGCCGTGGAAGGAAACCCACATACGTTCCCAGAGCTGCAGCGACAGGCCCTGTTTCCCAAGCAGCTTGGATCCTGCGGCTCCTTTTTGTGGGATGCTCTCAAATGGCACTTAAACAGTCCAGCCCCCTCGTCAAATGCTTTTTTTTTTTAATTTTGAAGAATACCTGACACGGTAAAGTAAACATTCTCCCTGCTCACGCTGACCGCATCTGCAGAGCAGTGCGCAAGTCAGAGGAAATACATTTTTATAAAGGCTCCGTTCAGCGTTCAGTGAGTCAGCCTCAAGTTCCTTTCTTTCCGGTTGTAGCTCTCAAAGATGGGGTTTGCAGGCGGAGGGGAACCAACTGCCAAACCCTGGCTAAAATCTCTGGCCCTGTGGCTGCCAGTCGAGGATAGAGGGATAAAGTGCATTTCTAAGACACTTTGTGTGCCGAGAAGACAAAGCCATGCATGCAACAAGCACAGAGAAAATAGCAATTAAAAAAAATAAGTAACAGTTTTACTTAGTTGGCTCTTGGTAGCAGCTCTCCCGCCACTGCTTCTGGGCTTTATCCAGGCAAGACGAAACCCCCACGTCACCCCTGCTCCCAAGCTACAAGACAGCCGATTTCCCAGAGAGACACCAGTCTGCCCGACTGTCCAGGCCAGAGAACAGGGTGTGGGGGAGGCAGCAGCGCCAAGATTTTGAAGCCCAATGCCTGGGCCCACATGGCCATGCCGTCGCCTCTCCCCACCCCACGGACGCCAGGCTCACCGATCGTATGGGGCAGCCCTGGCTCTGCCTCCTGGCGTCTGCCAGTGCCAGGCGAGGCCCAGCTTGCCACACCTCACCCCTGTCCCTCACTTCCCGCTGGCCAGAGCACATGCGTCCCTCAAGCTCCTCTCCAGCTCCCGGCCTTTCTCCCCCCACTAAAGAGAAGCCCGCACCAGCCCCCACTCCCGACACACACGCGTGCCCCCCACCCCAGTGTTTCTGGCCAGCGGCCAGTACGCAAGCCCACGCGGCACAGAGCCCTCTCTGGACCCAACGCTGCCCGCAGGCACCGAGGCCAGGGGGGCGGCTCTGCCCGCACCCTCCCCGGGCCGCTCCTCAGCTCTCCCAGGGAAGCCGCCCAAGCCCAGACTCTGAGCTCAGATGGCTCCGGGCTGGGTGTCAGCGGCCCCATCTCCTACACCTTCTCCGCCCTGGGATCTCCTCTCTTCACTGACCCCGCCCGGGGAAGCCGAGTGACAAAGGCGGGAGTACACTGCTGAAGCAATGACTTCAGCAGACGGGGAGGGGGTCAGATATCTCTGGCTCCACAGGATTTACCTTCAGTGTGTTTATCTGCTCCTTTGAGCTCTTGCTTTCTGGCTTACCTTTCAGCCCGACTTCTAGCTTATGGCACTGGCGACACGGTTCGTCCACCAGTACTGGGGAGTGCTGAAGGCTGGGCCCGGCCAGCACCTGGTGCCCAGCCCTCGCTCAAGATGTGCATGGGCTCTTCCAGGGAGGGACATGGCCACCTCTGGAAGGCACCCCCAAGCAGCACCCCAACTGCCCCTGCTGGCCCGCTTTGTCCAGGGCGCCAGCTCTGCCCTCTGAGGGCTGTTAGTCTGACTGCAGATGCCAACCATGACCCCAGACCAGAGATTTGCACCTTGCCTGCACCCTGGTAACCACCAGCCAGTTGGGGAGGGGCCACTAGAACATGGGGCTCCTGATTCCAAGTCCACTCAGCGCTGCCCGGTACCCCACACATCCGCTGCCCCTCCTCCTCCACACAGACCGCAGCCCCTGGAGTAGCCCAGGCCACATCAAAGAGAATGGTAAAAAGTGACCGCCCAGGTGACCCCCTTTCCTGGCCACAGACACCAGTGATCCCCACCTACACATGCCACTACCAACACATACAGGGACCCTGGCCTCTGCAGAACTTTGCAGCCTGGAGCAAGGAGAGGAGGTGGGCAGCAGCCACCCTGGGAGACCCTAGTGAACAGCGGTGCTGGGGTGAAGGGAGGTTCCCATCTCCCCTCCCCACACAAACGTGCCTTCCCCTGGGGCCTCTTGGCAGCCACCTACCCACCTCAACCCTTCTCCAAACCTGCGAAGCTAGGGAGGACACACCTGGGGCTGCCCCAAGGTGACCCCAGGGTGACCACAGGCTTTTTCCCCGGGGAAAAGCGAGGCTAAGGCAGCCCCCAGGGGAAGGACAGAAAGGGATTCCTGCGGCCCCTGCGTTCACCACCAAAGGATGGGGTAAGGTCTCCCCCAGGGGTGGGAAGCCAAGGCTGGGGGGTGGAGGGGCAGGAGGTCCCTCACAGAGGGGGCTGTGCCGGAGAGAGTGGCAAACTCCCAGCTGGAGCAAAGCCCAGGTAGCAAGAAGGTGGGGGGAGGACAGGGAGTTTGCGGCCGCTGCCACTCCGAGTCCCAGAGCTCCAGGTCCAGAGTGCAGCGGGGATGAACCCAAGACACGCGGGTCCACACGCGGGTCCGGGCACGTCCCTGCATGTCCGGCGACAGGATCTCCAGGCAGCCGCGGACCACACTAAGGGAATCAGGGACAAGGGTAACCCTCGAATCGAGAGTCCCAGAACAGGAACGGAGCAGACCCGGGAAGCCCCGGAGCCTGTGGAGGCGCCACCTGCGGGGTCCGGGATAAACCGGGGTGGGGGATCCTGGAGCCAGAAGTCCCAGAACGCAACGCTGAGCGGAACCGGCGAGTGTTGGGGCCATCGAGGCAACGTGAGCTGGGCTTGTCCTCAGGACCTGGAGGTGGCTGGGCAAGCCTCAGGGGACCTCTCTATTAACTCTGGATCTGGAGGCCAGTGGGGTAGCCCCTCAAGTGGCCGAAGATTCCGAAACCGGTGGGAATGTCCCCTGAGGTGAGACAGGTTCCCGTATCTGAGGACCTCTCCCCACGTATCCAGCGACTGGAGGCCAACAGGGGCACCGCCGAGATGACCCGCGTTTCCAAGTCGCCAAAACGCCCAGATGACCGCCGGGTGGTCCGAAAGGAGGGGGCCGTGGCCGCCCCCGGGGTGTCCCCAGGAGTCCCGAGAAGGGGCCGCGGGGAGGACACGGAGGTCACTTACGCTGCTGTTCTCGCCCGTCCAGTGCACCATCGCCTGGTTGTGTGTCGCGTCCCCCTTGAGCACGAACGACGTGCTGATGAGCGAGACCTGCGCCCGCGAAGCCGCTCCGGCCACCGGCGCCGCCCGCGCCCAGCGCCCCTTGCCCGCGGCCGGGGCGCTGTCCTCGCCCGGACCCGAAGCGGGACCCGGCCCCGGACCCTGGGCGATGGGCTCCATGCCGCGCGCCCGCCGGTCCTCGCCGGCGCCGGGCTCCGAGCGCCCTGCGGGCAGGCTGCGCGGCACCCGGGCCAGCCGGGCGCGGGGACCCAGGCGCCCGAGCTCGGGGTGCGCCCCGCCGCCCCAGGCGAGCAGCAGCAGCGCAGCAGGAGCGGCGCGAGCGCGCGCGAGCGCGGCGGCGGCGGGGCCGGGGCTCGGGGCTCGGCGGCGGGGCCGGGCCCCTTCGGGGCGCGCGGGGGCCCCCGGTGCGCCATGGTCGCCGAGGGGCGGCGGCGGGTGGCGCGGGCGACGGAGACCGCGGCCGGGAAAGCGGGAGGGCGCCGGGGAGCGCGAGCGAGAGCGGAGAGAAAGGGGCCGGCGAGGGAGGGAGCCGGCGGGAGGAGGGGACTCGGCTCTGCCGCCGCCGCTCAGCCGAGGGCGCACCGCCACCTGCCGGCCGCCCGGCGCGGGCCTGGAGCGGGCCCCACCTCCGGGGACGCGGGTCCCCTTCCCCTCCTGTTCCTCCCTCCTCTTCTCCCCTCCGCCCTCCCGCCCTCCCTCCTTCCCTCCAGTCCCCCGTCTTCAGTCCCCGCCCTTTCTTCCTGTGTTTACTGAGCACCTGCTTTACGCCAACCGCGATTCCTGGCGCGGGCACAGCAGCCAGGTCCGTCCCGGAGCTGACAGTCTGTAAGGGAGACGGATCACACCTGGGTAGACAGATTTATAGGCGAAGTAACTCCAATAGCCAGGACAGATTATAAGGGCTCCTCCTCTAGGGGCCTTTGAAAATACGGCTGCAGGGAGGGACTGAGGGCCCTGAGACCTTCCAGGGGGTGGGAGGGCAGGAGCAAAGGCCCCAAGGTGGCCCCAGGTGGAACCTACTCCAATGGCAGCCAAGACTTCAGGACATGGAGACAGTGGCTTCATCTCCCAACCAGGGGCCACCAATGGGCAGCCCCTAAACAGGACAGCTGCATGGGTTGGGGGAGCGTCCAGAGGAGGCAAAGGTGAAGTCCCATGAGGCCTGGAAGGCCACAGTGAAGAGTGTGGAAACTGAGGCCCAGAGCACAGAAGGTCCCCACCCAAGGTACCATGACTACTTTAGTTCAATATTGCTAAAAATGACTTCCTTGTGGACCAGGTTGGCCTCAGGGAACAGACGGTAGGAGATTCCCCAATGCAAGGCCAGGGTTAGAGTCAGTGTCCAGCTCTCTGACACACCAGGGCCACCCTGCCCTCCTCCTTCCCCAGAAGTCCCAGTGTCAGATAGAAACCTTCAGGTTCAGGATCCCTGCCACGGCCCACCTCCCAGCTGGGTCTCTTTGCTCCAGAGAGAGCTCCTAGCAGAGCAGCCAAGCCTGGAACATGTGGGAAAGATGGAGGATTGAGGGTTCCCTCTGGCCCCTAAAGAGTGGGAGCACCCAGCACCCTCACCAGGAAATCACATCCAAGAACGCAGGGAGTGGCTGCCAGGCTCACCTGTGCCAGTGCTGGGGGCGGGGAAGATTTGTCCAGATGTCTAGGGCTGCCCCTTGGAACGCGCCCTCCCCCGCCAGGATGTAAATTCCAAACCTGCTGGGTGGAACTCCAGGGCGGGAAGAGGGAAGGGGGAGTGTGCGGCTGTGGGAACATGTGGCCCAGCACAGGAAGCAGAGAGGAACAGAGCAGGGTCGGTGTGGGGCCGGAGGGAGGGGAGGCCAGGCGAAGTGGGGGGCCTGAGAGAGGCTACAGAGAAGAGGCAGTCCCGTCCCAGCTTGGACACAAACCACCCCGGGCCCCTCCCAAACTGCCGGAGCCGCCATCTCGCCCACTGTGAAATGAAGGGCGCTACACGGTCTCTAGGTCTCTTCCAGTGTGTACTGCTTTTGTTTTAAGTACAAGAAGAAAGAAGGCCTCTAAGCACTGACCTCAATAAATTTAACTGTGGCATTCACTGAGCACCAACTGTGCTCGGCACATTCCCAGGCACTTCGAAAGAAGAGAGGCCCTCTGCTCTTGCAGGGGCTGCTTCGCAGGTCACCAGATTTCATTCTCAGGACCAGGCTGTAGACCAGGTATATTGTCCCCATTTTACAGATGAGGAAACAGACTAGAGAAGTTCAGTGACTTAGGGGTCAGTGGCTTGTGCCTGTAATCCTGGCACTCTGGAAGGCTGAGGCAGGAGGATCACTTGAGGTCAGGAGTTCAAGACCAGCCTGGGCCAGCAAGGGCGAGACCCCATCTCTACAAAAAAAAAAATAGAAAAATTAGCCAGGTGTCCTGGTGTACACCTGTAGTCCCAGCTACTCAGGAAGCTGAGGAGGGAGGATAGCTTGAGCCCAGAAGTTTGAGGCTGCTGTGAGCTAGGCTGACTCCACGGCACTTTAGCCCAGGCAGAGGAGTGAGACTGTATCAAATAAAACAAATAAAAAAATAAAAATAAAATAAAATTTTTTAAAAGAAAGAGGGAAGTTCAGTGACTGCCCAAGTTCACCTGGCCAGTACCGCCAGAGGCCAGATTCCACCCAGGTTTTCTGAGCCCGAGGGGGCGCTCTTTGCACCACGCGCGGTGCCGCCCTCCATGTAGGGGGCTCTCCCAGCCTCTTTGCATCTCTGGGGCTCAGATTTGAGCTGCCTGGCCGGGCAGGGAGGTGAAATGAGCTCGCCACCACCACCCTCCCAGCTCACATCACTGACTTGGTGGGTCACGTTAAGTCCCTAACAAATTGGGGAGAGAGTCAACAGCTGGCTTGCAGGTAGTGTGACCACTCACCAGTGGTCTTTCCAGAGCAATCCCTGCCTTTGCCCTAATGAGGTTTCATGGCATTGATTCGATTCCTCTGTGAACCCAGAGCTCAGAGACACTGTGACCCCCACACCCCTACAGTCACTCAGGTCACAAATACTGCAGGACACATCGACACAGTGAAGACAGAGACAGACAAGGTCCAGAGCTCACCAGGAGCCTCTGTCCTGGTGGGACAGACAGATGCCGAGTAGCAGGCACCCAGAAGAGAACAAAGCACTCACCTGATGAAGAGGGCCCCCGCCCCACCCTAGTAACGCTGAGCTGGGAACAGGGCAGAGCGGCCAGGCAGAGGGAAGAGCCCTGAGCAGCAACCCGGCTCAGAAGGGCTGGTACAGTCATGGAGGAGCAGGCGGCTGCGCGCTTGATTTGTATTCATGGTCTGATGGGAAGTCGCTGGGGTGTTTTAAGCAAAGGAGTGAGATCATTGGCATTTTTACAGCCGTCATTCTGGCTGCTATGAGGATAGACATAGGAAGCCACTTAGGAGGCTACTTCTCCCAAAGTCCAGAGAGAGGCCACGGGGCTGGGAGCTGGTAGGGAGCATAGAAGGGGAGAAGCCTGCAGGCACTGGCCAGCCATGCCCAGGTGCCTCCCCAAGCCCCTGGCTCACAGTCCTTAGTGACCCACATCAGGGACTTGGGGACTCAGCTGCAGGAGAAAGACGTGGGAAAGTACAGACAGTGAAGGAAGGAGGCAGGTGCCCGGAAGGAGGCAGCAGGGGATGGGCCAGAGACCGCAGAGACGGTGTCAGAGGGGCCTGAGGGCTGACCTCATGGCAGTGCTATTTATGAGGCCCCTACAGTTGCGGCCACACAGGGCCACGTGCGGGTGCTCGGGGCAGTATCCAACAGGGTGTCAGGTAAATATTGAGCACTCCCCAGGGGTAAAACCTAATGAGTATTCACAAGGCTGAGTAGTTGGGGCTCCATGCTGGACACTGGGCTCCAGACTGTCACACCTGGTCGCAGCTCTAGGGAACCACACAGCCTGGTGGGGATGCACCCAGGTAAACAGACACTGACAGAGGCAACAGGTGCTCCAAGAGCAGTGCCCGGGAGCCTGAGGGAGGGTAGCTGCTGTATGGAGCTGAGGGAGGAAGGCCACTCAGAGGACACCCTTCAGCTGATCCCACTAGGTAACCGTGACAGTAATAGTTCCAGGGAACAGTAACAGTAATGATCACAATTACTACTGAGTACCCACTACGGCCCAGGCATTGTTCTAGATGGAAAAACCCACTGGACCGCACAATATCTGTATAGAGTAGGTACCCTTTTCCCCAATTTAAGATGAAGAAGATGAAGGCACGAAGGGGTCCAGTAACTCACCCCACCGATTCAAAGTCCCCTCCTCATGTGCTAGGTGGGAGACACTTCCCCATCATCTCTCTGCTTCCCGAACTGCTCCCTGTAAAATGGGACCAGCACTGCCCCCCACCCCAGGTTCTCAGAATGCTATCCTGGGACCAGCAGCGTCCACATTAATGGGAACTGGTTAGAAATGCTGGATCCTGGCTTCCACCCAGACCTGCTGGACCAGAAACTCTGGGGAGGAGTCTGGGGATCTGTGTCTGAGCACCCCCTCCGGTGGTCGCGCTGCACCCGAGTTGAGAGGCGCTGCGTCAGTCAGTGGCTCTGGTCCCGGCCGCCCAGAATGGCGTGGAGCTCTAGGGAAACCCTGCTGCCCACTTGCACCTCAGCTGCGGCTCAGTGGGGGCGCAGCTCTTCAGCTGCCTTGGACTGCCCACGGGGGGTGTGGCGTGCAGCCAGCTGCACACTGCCCCAGCACGGCCCTGAGGACGCAGGAGAGGACAGACGCACGACACCCAGCACACAGTAGGACTCCCATAAATGGTGCCTTTCGTGAGAGGTAGTGGGGTCGGCTGAACCCCTGCCCAAGCCTTGTGGCTTCCAGGCCCATGCTTGCTCTCATTCCATGGCAACGATCCTAAGCCAAGAAGAAGAGACGCTTTGTCTGTCCAATGTCTAGTCATGCCACTTGCTCATTGAAAGTCCCAGTCTTTCCTAAATTACTGAAGGGCTCTCGTGATAACAGTTTAATTTATCTTTGTAACCGTGACAGAGCTCAAATCGTGCGGCTCCGCGAGCAGGGCCTGCTCAGCCCGGTCAAGGATCCATGGGATTCTTGCCTCCGGAAGTGCTGTGGGCCCCGCAGAAGGGGCGCTGGTGGACAGGCCGATGGTCTGCCAGGCTCCACGGGGGGGAGCTCGGGCAGCTCCCCACTACCTCAGCTCTGCCTGCGGATTAAGGAGGTGCCACCTGCTCTCAGGGCAGGGGACGGTGGGACGGCAGAGAAGTCTCTAATGACTTTTGGCAACAACAAGGGGATGGAGGGGTGGCTTTGGACAGAAGGGTAGGGCAGGACGAGCTTGTTATGAGGCTTCCGAGGACACAGTGGAGGCAGCAGGGAAGGAGGGTCAGGACCTCAACGAGGGCCAGGAGCAGAAGTCTGATGTGGAGGATGAAG